CACAATTGAGGCTAACACAATGAAGAGATCGCAAACTCCACTATTTTGTCATCATAACCTCAAAATGTCGTGTATATTAATTATTTTTTGTTTATCCAGGGCCTTGTTCAACTATACGAGTTCAAGCTATCATATCCACAAGCYGACATCGATCCTTTCCTCAAGAAGACCTCGCCGTATTTCCAAAACTATATTTGTAGAGGACTGAAAAATATAGAAATGGAGCGAAAAAATAAGAAAGTTGGAAATAATACGAATTCRTCCTCGTGTATYCCGACAGSTCCTGCAACACAGACCTCAGGTATTGACTCAAKTTATTAGCAAAACATAGGGAATTTTAGTCTCCTCGCAGCCGTGTTTAGTTTCGGTCACGCGTCACGCAACCTCTCCACGCCAGGTTGCGTGACGCGTGACCGAAAGGTTGCGTGACGCGTGACTGAAACTAAACACGGCTGCGAGGAGACTAAGGGAATTTGGGTCAGCATTCGGTAAGGCCCGTTTACACTTGCGATTTTTGCAGCGTCCGTAAAAGTGAGTCTCCGCGAGTTTTGTTGTTGGGTTTGTTTGTTTGTTGTTGTTTTTTTCCGTTTTTGTTGTTGTTGTGGTGGTGGTGGTTTTTGGTTGTTTGTTTTGTTGGTTGTTGTTTTTTTCCTTTTTTTCTCATTTTGTTTTTTCATTTTTTCAATAATTTCTTTAGAGCAGAAAGATATTTCAGTATCTATAATAACGGGTTGTTCGTAAGGCGAGAGTAAATTGTAGTTAGTAATTGTAATTTCTATATTAACAGAAGAGCCATCGTCGTACTTGGATCGTCTTCGAGTGCTGAGGATGAGATCTGGTCTTGGTGACAATAACGCCATTAATATTGAACATGTAAGTCATATACAGATTAGATTTACAATTTTACAAAATGATTTTTTCATTCTTTCTTCCAATCTTTTTGTTCATTGTTTTCTTTCTTTTTTTYTTTCTTTCTTTTTTTCTCTTTGTCAAACGAAGATTTTAGCACTTAACAGGTTTAGATGAAATTTACAATACCATGTAAACAATTTCCCGTTTATATACACCTAATTGAAAAAGCGTAGTCGTGTTCGAAAAGGTCACATAATAGAAGCTAAGACCGAAAATGATCGGATTTTGAGTACCACTAAATTG